TGTATTATTCATGAATAAAACATGTATTATATGTATCTTATAAATTATTTTGGTTTGTATCACTAAAAACATGAGTGATGTTTGCAATATGTATTAAAATGTATTGTGCATGTATTATAAGTGTGTTACCTAAATTACTTTAGTTGATATCATTAAAAAGGGAGTGAAGTTTGCAATATGTATTATAAATGTAGGATGTATTATTCATGATTTTAATACAATTATGGAACATATCTAATACAACTTTAATACAAACGCGATATAATTTCGTAAACTTCATCCTTTTCGAGTTTCTATCTAATATTTCTCCTAAAATCAATTCCAAACTTAACCAAACCCTCTTGAAATTGAGATATAAACTTCAAACGATATTTTCAATTATTCGTAGGAACAACCTATCCAAACTAATCGCAAACGAAAGAGCAGAAAGTAATCTAATCGTAACAAATGAAGAAACATAATAAATTGCCAAATGAATTAAACTTGGATTAAAAATATATTACACACATATTAAAGTTGAATTAGAAGTGAATTAAACACGCATGCAAAATGTAGCAAACGAAAGAGTATTCTGAGATTTGTAAACTGAATAAACTTGTATCAATAATAAATTAAACAAGTAATTTAATCATAACAAATCAACCAATAAACTGTAAAATGAATTAATTTGTATTAAAAGTGTATTACACAAATATTAAAGTTGAATTAGAAGAGAGAATTAAGCATGGATAAAAAATGTAACTAATGAAACACAAGACAATCACCTATAGAGTGAATTAAACTTATATCAATAATGAATTAAACAAGTAATCTAATAGTAACAAATAATAAACTACAAAATGAATTAAATTTGCATTAAAAGTGTATTACACAATATTAAAGTTGAATTAGAAGAGAAAATTAAGAATAAAAAAAAAAAACATTACTAATGAAAAATAAGATAATAATCTATAGACTGAATTAAACTTGTATTATTCATGAATAAAACATGTATTATATGTATCTTATAAATTATTTTGGTTTGTAGCATTAAAAACATGAGTGATGTTTGCAATATGTATCGTGCCTATGTTATAAATGTATAACAAATTTGTCACTTAAATTATTTTGGTTGATATCACTAAAAAAGGAGTGACTAAACATTTTTATATGTGTTGTAAATTATTTTGGTTTGTATCACTAAGAACATGAGTGATGTTTGCAATATGTATTAAAAATGTAGTGTGCATGTATTATAACTGTGTTACGTAAATCATTTGGTTGGTATCATTAAGAAGAGAGTAAAGTTTGCAATATGTATTAGAAATGTATTGTTCATGAATAAAACTTATATTATATGTGTCTTATAAATTATTTTGGTTTGTATCTCTAAGAACATGATTGATGTTTGCAATATGTATTGTGTCTATGTTATAAATGTATTACAAGTTTGTTACTTAAATTATTTTGGTTGATACCACTAAAAAAGAGTGAAGTTTGTAATATGTATTATAAATGTATTGTTCATGATTTTAATATAATTTTAATACAATTATGAAACATATCTAATACAACTTTAATTCAATTGTCATATGGTTCCATAAACTTCACCTTTCGAGTTTCAATCTAATATTTCTCCTAAAATCAATTATAAACTTAACCAAACCCTCTTAAAATTGAGCTATAAATTTCAAAAGACATTTTCAATTATTTGTAGGAACAATCTATCCAAGCTAATCACAAATTCGTAAAATTTCAAATAATGAATTCAAAATTTGAAACTTTACAATGAACATTAATGGTGAACTCTTGTTGCTATAATTTTACAGATTTGAAATTTTTGCTTGAAAATATGATTTTGTACAAATTTTCATCTTTCCATTTCTTTTTCCGTCGTATTTTTGGGTAAAAATAATGAAATATGGGCAAAAATTGATTTGAAGATAGTTATTTATATATATGAAAATTTCAAAGAAGAAGAAGAAGAATTTTTTTAAAAAAAAAGAAAGAAAAAAAAGGAGGAAGATAATAATGATAGAAAAAGAGACAAATAAGAAGAAGAATAAAAAAAAAAAAGCGAAGGAAGATGAAAAAGGGTAGACAATTTCTTAATTCCAAAAATTTGTTATATTTAGTTAGAAAAATTATATTGTCATAGATGGTAAATATTTCTTTAATATAGCATATTTATGTGATTTACCCTTATCGAAACCTATAACGCTCTTGCGAAATATTGACTTGGTATGATAGAAGTCAATTAAGTGTCAGTCCTTAGTTGTTGGTCAACTGATTAGTTGTTAGAATAACTAGTGCAATGTGGAAAAACTAATATAGTTGTTGGAAGAAATAGTTGGACACCTACCGAAGTTGTTCCCACAACTCACTTGTCACTTTTATTTAATCGAAAGACTTAAAAGGACTTTTAGCTCTTGTCACCTTTATTTAATTGAAACCTTAAAAGTTTCAACTCATTTTCGTGTGAAAGGATGTATGTACGTAGTTCCTCGTTATATATATGAGGGTGCGCTCTTTTTTCCCTTTTCCTATGGTACACCATACACGTATAAGTCTAAATGTTTTCGAGCTTCAATTGGTATACATTAATAATACAAAAGATTTTCTTGCAATGCATTTACAGTATCCTTTGAAATATGCCTGTTTTTTATTTAAGGTTGA